CTCCCAAGTAGCTGGGACTACAGGCACACACCGCCATGCCTGGCTAATTTTTGGATTTTTAGTAGAGACGGGGTTTCACCATATTGGCCAGGCTGGTCTCGAAATCGACCTCAAGTGATCTGCTCACCCTATTCTCCCAAAGTGCTGGGATTATAGGCGTGAGCCACCACGCCCAGCCTGAATATTTCATATATTGGTAGATACTCAGGTTGTTTGTAATTTTTTCTATTTTGACAATGTACCACAGTAACACATTTTACATTGTGACCCAGAATAAATGAATAAACCTATAGTTAAAGCTACAATTTTAATGAAATAATACCTACCCCTACTACAAATTATATACTTGGTGATATGTTCTATTTTAGTCTATTAAAAAATACATACTCATGAGCCACTGAAAGGTCACACAAGCTATAGCTTGAAAAATACTACTTGAGGATATACCCAGGAGGGGACTTGGAGGGCCAAAGATGTCCATTTTTAATTTTACTAGATATTGCTAAATGTCTTTCCAATTCGTATTTATTTACGTCCCCACAGGCAGTGTGCTGTAGTGCCCGTTGCTTCTCATTCTTACAGGCGGTGTTACCAGTCTTTTTTCATTTTTGCCAATCTAGCAGGCATGAAATGGTATCTCAGTATTGGTTTAATTTGTATTGTTGAGCTAGAGGTTCCAGCCAGTGCAATAAGACAAGGTAGATCACCATTTTAGATCTTTATTGTCTTCTTGATTTTCTTTCTTTGCCTATTTCCTGTTTATACCTTTGCCCATTTTCAACTCGGTTTTTGTTGTCTTTTTTTATATCAATTTGTAACAATTATTGATATATATTTTGTGTTCCTTTCCCAATAATATGCGTTGCAGTCATTTTCCTCCAGTTTGTTGCCTACCCCATTTGTTATTTTTTTGTTCATGAGGTTTTTATTTATATTATTGTGAAATTTATTAATCTTTTACCTTACAACAGTATATAAGGTAACATTTTATCCTTTTGGGATCTTGTTCAAGGAGTTCTTCTTAACTCTGACTTTATAAAATATTCTATAGTAGTTTATTGTAGAAATTATAATTTTTTTTTAATTTTCATTTTTAAAAGTTTATATTTATTTATTTTTAGGGATAGGACCTTACTCTGTCACCCAGCCTGGAGTGCAGTGATGCAATCATAGCTCTCTGCAGCCTCAAACTCTTGGTCTCAAGTGATCCTCCTGCCTCAGTGTCCTGAGTAACTAGGACCTCAGGTGTGCAGCACCATGCCTGGTTAAGTTTTAAATTTTTTTTTGTAGAGATGGAATCTTGCTACAGTGCCCAGGCTAGTCTTGAACCCCTGGCCTCAAGCAGTCCTCCTGCCTTGGCCTTCCAAAGTGTTGGATTATAGGCTTCCTTTTGTTTTTCATTGTTCTGTTGAGGTTGTTTTACATTTAGGCCTTTAATCCACCTGGAATTTGTTTTTGTATGTAAGGATCCAATTTCATGATTTTTCCATGTAGATAACCAGCATCATATATTTAACAGCCTATGTTTTTTTTGTCTTTCTGACACAGGAGAATGTTTATGAAATCTGCAGTTCAGTTGCATTGGTTTGTCTATCCCTGAGCCAGATCCACACTAGTTTAATGACTATAGATATAATCTTTTTTATTTATTTTATCTCATTCTTCTAGTCAGTGGAGATATAACCTCAGTGAGTATAGCTTTATAATTATTAGTATGTGGTAGGATGAATGCCTTCAAATTCTTAAAATCTTATGAATTGTTTTGGCTATTTTTGGCCATTTGCACTTACATTTAAATACTAGGATCAGTTTATCAAATTCCACAAAATCGCATGTTGAGAGTTTTATTTGAACTGTATTGAGTTTGTAAATAAATCAAGCAGTTTTATGCCCAATAGCCTAAAACTGGAAATAGTCCAAGTATCCATCAGAATAATGGATAAACAAACTGGTTTATTCAAACAATGGAATATTACTTGGCAACAAGAAGGAACAAACAACTGTTTCATGTGGCAGCATGGATGAATCTAGAAACATTATTCTAAGTGAAAGAATTTTTTTTTTTTTTTTTTTTTTTGGGATGGAGTTTCGCTCTTGTTACCCAGGCTGGAGTGCAATGGCGCGATCTCGGCTCACCGCAACCTCCGCCTCCTGGGTTCAGGCAATTCTCCTGCCTCAGCCTCCTGAGTAGCTGGAACCACAGGCACGCGCCACCATGCCCAGCTAATTTTTTGTAGTTTTAGTAGAGACGGGGTTTCACCGTGTTGACCAGGATGGTCTCGATCTCTTGACCTTGTGATCCACCCGCCTTGGCCTCCCAAAGTGCTAGGATTACAGGCTTGAGCCACCGCACCCGGCCTGTGAAAGAAGTTTTAAATGAAAGAGTATTTACCATATGATTCCATTTATCTAAAGCTCTAGAATAGGCAAAACTCTAATGTACAGTGAAAAAAATGAGAATGGTAGGTATCTTTGAGAAGTAAGGACGGGAATTGACTGAAAAGGGACATAAAAGGACTTTCCGGAGTGATGCTATTATTATAGGTCTTGAGTTTCTTTTTTTTCTTTTTTTCCTTCTTTTTTTTTTTTTGAGACGCAGTCTTGCTCTGTCACCCAGGCTAGAGTGCAGTGGCATGATCTCCATTCACTGCAACCTCCACCTCTGCCTCCCAGATTCAAGCAGTTCTGCCTCAGCCTCCCGAGTAGTTGGGACTACAGGTGTGCACCACCACGCCCAGCTAATTTTGTATTTTTAGTAGAGATAGGGTGTCTCCATGTTGGCCAGGCTAGTCTCAAACTCCGCACCTCAGGTAATCCTCCTGCCTTGGCCTCCCAAAGTGCTGGGATTACAGGCATGAGCCACTGCGCCTGGCTAGATCTTGAGTTTCATGAGTATATACATTTTTTTAAATTTATTGAATGTATGCTTGGATTTGTATATTATATGCAAATTTTACCTCAAAAGAAAAAATTGTAAAGAAGTATTGAACTCTAGCTAATGCTATGCCTGCTGAAGTATTTACAACTCAACAGCAAAAAACCAAAATAACCCAATTCTAAAAACGGGCAAGGAACTCTAATAGACATCTCTGTTAAGAAGACATATAAATCACCAATAGGTTAGATGCTCAACATCACGGGGAACAACAGTAGGAAAATACAAATCAAAACAACAGTGAGAGACCACCTCATACCTGTTAGGATGGCCGTTCAACATAACTAGTGGCGGTGAGGTTGTGGCGCAACTGGAACCCTTATATACTGTTGGTGGGAAGGTACAGTGGTCCAGCTGCTATGGAAAACCGCATGGAGATTCCTCCAAAAAGTTAAAAATAGAACTACTGTCTATGATCCTGCTGTCTCACTTCTCAGTATTTATCCAACAGAATTGAAATCAGGACCGCAAAGAGATATCTGCACTCGCTTGTTCATTGTATTGTTCACAATAGCAAGATGTGAAAACAGCCTAAATACCCACCAGTGGATGATTGACTAATGCAGATTTGATCTGCATGTACAATGGAACATTATTCACCCTTAAAAACAGAAGGAAATTCTGTCATATGTGACAACATGGTTCAACCTTGGGGACATTATGATAAGTGAAACAAACCAGTCATAGAAAGACAAATACTGCATGATTCTACTTATATACGATATTTAAAATAGTCATAGAGAAAGAGTAGAATGGCACTTGCCGGGGTCTGGGGTGAGGGACAGATGGGGAATTGCTCTTCAGTGATGCAAGGTGAATACGTTCTGGATAGCCATACAGCATTGGGCTTCTAGTTAGCAATGATGTGTTGTACACTTTAAATTTTAAGAGAGTAAATAACATGTTAAGTGTTCTTACCACAATTTTGAAAAATAAAATGTTGGGAAATGCAGCAATAAAATTTTTTTCCTAACAGCTATTTGTGATGGAAAGAAAGGTAAAAAGCAGTAGCTTATTTTTTATTTGCTTTGAGGTTCTTTAGAGGTTTATTTTAAGTCAGGCTGATTATATTACTAACAACATGTAGAGAAGTTCATTTAGGTTTACAGGAAAGCTTATTTTATTTGAGCGACTTAGAATATATATGCCAGCATCCAGATGAGCAAATTAAATTTAGTTTTTATTTAAGCCTTTTAAATAGGATAAAAAATAAGGATTCACAAATAAGGATAAAGTTAAAATGTCTTTTAAAAAAGATTGTCTTTGATATGTTGAGGTCCCAGGAATCAGAGACTTCAATAGTTCCTTAGAGTCTACCCTCCATCTCCCCTTCAAAAGGCAAAACAAAACATTATACATTAGTTTCAGGGCAAGCCAGGCCAACTTTTATTAACATTTTCTCACAGTGGGAAAGTTATCTCTTTTCTGCCAGAATGCCTTCATCAATTTGACCTTGCGTTGAACATCTCCTTTTTTGGCACAATTCCCAGATCTACAAGAAAGTTTTTCAATTAAGATGGTATTCATCCAGATACTCCTTTAGTGTTGTGGGGTTCCAAGTATGAGTGATTATCTCCAACTTCTTTAACTTGGCAGTGTCTTGGAGTAATGGAAACAGGGGCACAGGGATAGAAGTATGTATTGAAATCTGTACGTTTTTTCAGGTTTGGCAAGCTTCTCCTCTTGGTGCTGCAATTTTTCCTAGCACCTCTAAGAATATTGCCTTAACAGTATGGGATGCTGGCAAAACAAAACCAAACAAAAACAACATTATGCAAAATTCAAACTGGTGTGTGGTGGGGAGGTGTAAATCATTTGCTTTTTAAAAAGATTCATTGTATGTTTTATTGGTAAATCACAATATGAATCATGTTAAGCAATAGAGAAGTATATTGATAATATCAGGACCATTCTATACAACATTTGAAGAAAGCAACGTATTAGGAAAACATGTTAAGACAACATATTAGGAAAGCAATGCTACCTTGTTTGTACCTTTAATTGTTTCTGTCTTGAACAGTTTATAGGCTGCTGCCTAATCTTAACACGTACGTTATTATTTCAGGTCCTGTGGGAATGGCCGCTGCTGCTGCTGTGGCAACAGGAAAGAAACGGAAACGGCCTCATGTATTTGAGTCTAATCCATCTATCCGGAAGAGGCAACAAACACGTTTGCTTCGGTGAGGGCTCTCTTATCCATACTGTTACTATTCCTCAAATACTCCTTTAGATGACGGACTTAGAACATACGTTATTTGGTTTGTCAAGGATGCTCAGTTCGATTCCTTGATGACAGATAAGTCTTAAAAGTATTCTTACAAAATTAAATACATGAAAACCAAGAAATATGATTTAACAGATACATAATATCACATGAATTCATTCAGAAGAGTTGTATGCCTGCCGTGTGCCAGGCATTGTCCTAGACATTGGGCATAGAAGAATGAGCAAAACAAATTGCCTTAAAGGCTTGTATTCTGCTAGAGGGGGAAAGAAAAAATAAACATGCAATATTTCAGGTGATGATGAGTGCAATGGGAAAAAAATTAAGTGGTGTAAGGAAATAAGAAAGGTCAGGAGGTAGGGGGACAGAGTCGTTTTTCTCTTCTATGGGGTGGTCTGGGAAATGCTTTTTGATAAGGCAGCCTTTGAACAGAGACTTGAAGACGCTGAAAGAGCACCCATGCTGATGCTGAGGGGAAGAACATTTCAGATAGGGTGAGGACCAAGAGCAAATGCCCTGAGGCGTGAATGTGGTGGTTATGTGTGAGGAACAGCCAGGGAGATATGAGAGGATGTTCAGAGTAGTGGAGAAGAGATGCGCCAGGAGATCTTTTTTTTTTTTTTTTGATAGATGTGGTCTTGCTATGTTGTCCATGCTGGTCTGAAACTCCTGACCTCAAGCAATCCTTCTGCCTCAGCCCCAGAATGCTGTGGTTTTTTGTTTTGTTTTGTTTTGTTTTGTTTTGTTTTGTTTTGTTTTGAGATGGAGTCTCACTCTGTCACCCAGGCTGGAGTGCAGTGGTGCTATCTTGGCTCACTGCAACCTCTGTCCCCCAGGTTCAAGTGATTCTCCTGCCTCAGCCTCCCAAGTAGCTGGGACTACAGGCGTATGCCACCACGCCTGGCTAATTTTTTGTATTTTTAGTAGACACAGTGTTTTACCGTGTTAGCCAGGATGGTCTTAATCTCCTGACCTCATGATCTGCCCACCTCGGCCTCCCAAAGTGCTGGGATTATAGGCGTGAGCCACCACGCCATGCTGACATATATATATATATATATATATATATATATATATATATATAT